ATATTTGTGATTGTGACCTTGTGTTACTTGTGGATAGTACGTGAAATCGATAATAAATTATGTATAGTTGTGACCATGTCGTGTTTAATTAAATTATAGATCACAATACTTTAACACAAGTCACAAATGTGATCACTTAAATTATTGTTGAAAATCTATTTTGAAACCTTTGTAGTTGTGTATTTTTTTCCTAAACTAAAACCCTAAAATTGATGTTTGCGGACTTCTAATTGTTTTCTTATATTTATAGTTTTAGGATTAGAATTAAAAACCAATCTTGATTATTTTTAATCGAATAGAACTTAGGAATAGTAGAACTAATATTTAGATAGTTAGTCGTAGTAAGAACGATAATTTAAACACTTAGGTTCACTTTATTATTTGTTACAATATCATACATTTTTTTTTTTTTTAATGATATCATACATTTGCCATAGAAATCACACGACAAATTTTTGAAGAAGCATTCGACAAATTCAAAAACATATCATGTTTAGTACAGTCAAATCACTACTATGCATAAATATGTTATCAACCAAACCAAATTTGTTGTGTATGCCAATTCTAGTAGTCATTTTTCACTTATCATAGTCAATAACATTTATAAGTAAATGAATCAGACGCTTGACTAAAAAAATTTCAACTTTATCAGGGGCACATGAGCCCCGGTAATGCCAGGGGGCCCAGCATTAGCAGGGCTTAATTTAAAAATTAATAAAATTTTTAATTATTCTTCTTCATTAATATTATTAATGTTGGCCTTTGTTAACAAGCCATAAACTATTTATTAGTGTTAAACATGTGGAACGCGCAATTGAGTTTGATCACTGGTGGATGGAATAAGTAATTTAAGACAATAAAGTAAATTGAGTGATCAAAATGAAATAAACATAAACTAAAGGGAAAATTGCAGCCACGGTACCAAACCTTTCACATTTTTGCAGACTTTGCTCAAACCTTTCATCTGTGCCACCCACGGTACCAAACCTTTAAACAATTCGCACACGGAGTCCAAATTGACAGAAATCGTCAATTTGACCGTTAGTTGACCAAAAATTAAAAATCTGACCAATTGTTGACTAATTCTTAAAGGGCAAAATGATAACTTTCCTTTTTTCATATAAAAAAAATTAAAATCAAATAATTAAATCAAAAACCAAAAAGCCCTATTATCTTCCCCAACCACCCCACCACCACCCAACCCAACCCAAAACCAAAACTGTTGACACCACCAAACCCACCTCCGCTACCGTCCAAGGGCAATAATCTCCGGCGCAACCTCTCCAACAACAAACTCCACTACAATTTATTATATTAACAAGAACAAAACATGGTTCTGTATCAAGGTTTTGAAACGCTATCTTCTTCCTCGTGAGTTGCAGATTGATGCCTAATTAAAAATCCACTTCCAAACCTTGTACCATTTGTTCCCTTTTTTCAATCCTCTCTCATTCACTGTTATTCTACAAGATCCCCCATTACTTCTAAGATTTGCAAGAGAAATTCCAGATTGATCAGACTTCTTAAAATCTGATTTTGGGTCAGCTGATAAATAAAGATTCAGATCAGTGAAAGATGATTGCATGGCTCGAATGGAAACTATCTTAAGAGCAGGCGAGCCAGAAAGCTGAAGATGAGATTGAGCAGGAGCGGCTGCAGATGATTGATTGGCATGATTTTGTTGTTGTTGAGATTATAGACTTTGCAGATGACGAGGATGAGGATTTACCGCCTCCAATGACACTCGAGGGAGTTATAAGGAGGAGCAAGATGTTGCGCCGGAGTTTGTTGCCGGAGAGGTTGCACTGAAGATTGTTGCTCATGGACGGTGGCGGAGGTGGGGTGGCTGGAGAAGATAATAGGGCTTTTTGGTTTTTGATTTAATTATTTGATTTTAGTTTTTTTTATATGAAAAAAGAAAGTTACCATTTTGCCCTTTAAGAATTAGTCAGTCAACAATTGGTCAGATTTTTAATTTTTTTTCAACTAATGGTCAAACTAACGATTTCTGTCAATTTGGACACCGGGTGAAAATTGTTTAAAGGTTTGATACCGTGGGTGGCACAAATGAAAGGTTTGGGCAAAGTGTGCGAAAATGTGAAAGGTTTGGTACCGTAGCTACAATTTTCCCTAAACTAAATATGGATGTTTGGTGACTTCCAGTGAAAACTGAAGCTACTCACATTTTTTTAGCAGGGTCTGGACTATGGGGTTCATTAAGAAAAGGTTGAAAGCGGGGTGAATATGAATTTCTCTTCACAAAGTATATCGACTCTACTTAAATACCAAAAAAATCTAAATCAACCATGATATTATCCTACGTTCTGAAAGTGATTTTTGAAAAGCAATCTTCTCTCACACTCATTTTCAATAATACGTTTTCTAAAAATATATTTTTTATACTTCCCATTATGTTTTACCTAATTTTTAACCTCACGTTCTCCGGAAAAAAAAAAAAAAATCACTTTTCAAAAATTTACTTCTCAAAAAAATCACTTTCACACAAGCTAAAAAGTAAGGACAAGCTATATTATCTTGTTATAATTTGATTAAGAATCTTTGAGGTACAAAATCTAGCCCACAAGCTCAGCATCAGCAGTAAAACTTCTCCTTGTCATGTCAAATACAAGACAACTTTTAATGGTTGTCAACTAAATTAAGCTTCCGTTTGGTGCACATTTTGAAGGTAAGAATGCATTTTTACTTTTGATGTGATGGGAAATATGTGGTTGAAAAAGAAGGAAAAATTATTAATGTGATGAAAATATTATTTTATTGAAGAATGTGTGGTTGAAAATGAGTATAAAAATGAGAATAAAAAAAATAATGTGGACCAAACAAGGCATAAAAAGAGGACCAAAGGCACTCTTTTCTGTTACTTTTAATATTCATCAACGAAAATGCCTTACCACTGAGTCACTGGCATTGGAAAGTTATTCACCAAGAGAAAAGAAAACTTTGAAAATTTATATTCTAGAAGAGAATTGATCAATATAGAAAAGAAGACAAACCCAACTCCGCCATCACCAAAGCTGGTATAAGTATAGGCAATGAGCCTCCAATTCTTGTTTCAGCTAGTTGATGGCTCCCGAGTTTTCTAACTAATATCCTCTAACATCCTTACTACTTCAGACATTTCCAACACAAATCAATGCTATTTGCAAAAACTTCGCCATTGCCACCTCGATGTTCTGATACCTCAACAACTTTATATCGAACACTTCTGCATTCAATTCCTCATGAGCAACTGAAGCAACCCAGCAAACTAGATCAATGGCCTCGTCATCTTCAAAAGGAAAAGTTGGCTTTCCAGTAAGAAGTTCGAGTAGCACGACTCCAAAGCTGTAGACATCAGAAGGTTGGGACAATTTCTTGTTGTCTATGACTTCTGGGGCGCGATACCCTGAAGATCGACTATGTAACATCAAAGGTGTATTCGCTAATGCTTTCAATCCGACATCTGAAATACAGCCATATCCTTGAGCATTTAAGAAAATATTCGAGGATTTTACATTTCCATGTATGAGATTCTGGCCAAGTTGTGAGTGGATGTGAGCAATACCCCTTGCTGCCCCAACTGCAATTCTTAGACGAGTTTCCCAATCTAAAGAAATTTTATTCTCGCCAAATTTTCCTGCCAAGACGGTAAAAGTCATAAGATTACGATCACTTGCAAAAATATTATCTACGAAAGGTTGACAGCACGACATTTTTTTACTACAACTGTTGTAAAGATATGAAAACGAGCTCCAGATACTACAACTGTTGTGACGAATTGACCTGCAGCCGCTAAATGTTAAAATTAGCATCTCTGAGACTACTGATTTCCCCAAATTCATCCAACATTATCCATCTTTAAGAATACAAATAAGCATTTTACAAGTGACCTATTATACCAAACCGTAACTAAGATTTCAATCCAGATTTCAAGTGAATGGAATAACAATGTAATTGAAAGAAAAGGTTCCACTATAATTTAGTGATGCTAAATGAAATCTAAGGAGTGCTATAGCTCATTTCCAAATTTCATTAGTATGTCTAATTAGTATTTACAGAGCCAAGTTCCTACAAGAAAGACAGATTTAAAATTAATGTTGCAGTCAGGGAAATGTATTTCAAGATCTGCAGGTCATATGCACAAAGGAAAGTAAGATATTTCCTTACCATGTAGCATGGAAGATGCACTCCCCGCACCATAATAATCATACACAATAAGCTTTTCGTCATGTGAGTAGTAGTATGCGATTAATGTAGCAATACTTTCGTTCCTCATTCTTCCAATGACCTCCATTTGTTGCAGAAATTCTTTACTTGTAACAATAACATCCTTCAATCTCTTTACTGCAATTGTAATTCCATTATCTAGTGTTGCCTTGTATGAAGTCCCAAATGTTCCCTTCCCAAGAACCTCCGCAGAAGCCCGCAACATATCTTCAAGGTCAAAATCAGGATTACGGCTCTCAACAAATACAAGCTTCGGTCGAAGGTTATTTCTTGCGTTTATCATAGTAATTTCCTCCATCATCTTCCAAATAACCTCCATCATCTGCACTACTTGGGCCATTTTAGGTCTTTTCCTTGGGGTTTTTACTACACAACTCATCCCCATTTCCAACATCTTTACCATTTGTTCCTCTATGTTACGGTTTCTGAACAGCTCTACATCAAACACATTAGCAGTTCGCTCCTTACCATTGACAGAATTAACCAATTTGACTAGATCGACAACCTCATTGCCACATGTGGCATGTAAAGGGGACTTTCGAGTGAGAAGTTCAAGCAGCAGGATTCCAAAGCTATAGACGTCAGACGCTTGGGACACATTTCGGGTGTTCTTGACTTCTGGCGCATGGTACCCGGCAGTTCGCATGACTGGTGATTGAATCGTGCTAGCCAAGCCAAGATCAGACACACAGCCATACTGTTGTGAGTTAAGGAAAATGTTTGATGATTTTATGTTTCCATGGACAAGTTTTCCACTACTTTGCTTGTGAATGTGAGCAATACCCCTTGCTGCACCGACTGCAATTCTCAGTCTCGTTTCCCAGTCTAATGGAGCCCGATTCCCGCCAGTGTTTCCTGGGTAGATGAGAAAATGGATTGTATAGTAACTTTTTCATATTTCTGTACTTACTGGAAACCAATAAATTGAGGCTTGGATATAGTAGGTCTTAAAAGTGCATGCTAAATTAATTACTTACAAGTTCTAAATTGGTTATGCAGAAGCATGTCAATTAGATGCTTAAATTTAGTGCCTCTGTATGATACTTGTGGTTTTAATTTTTCTTCAGACGAATAAAAAGCGAGAAATGAAACATACCATGTAACATTTGAGATACGCTGCCATTACTGTAATGATCATACACCATGAGCTTTTCGTCTTTGGAAAAATAGTACGCCTTCAATTCACACACGTTTTCGTGCCTGACATTTCCAATTACCTCCATCTGTTGTCTGAACTTCTTTTCCGGAATCTTCACTGCGTTCAATCTTTTGAGCACAACTGTTATTCCATTATCCATAGCTGCCATATATGCACTTCCAAATGTTCCCTTCCCCAGAAATTGAGCAGTAGACCTCAACATGTCTTCAAGGTCAAAAAGATGACTAAAACTCTGAACAAATACCAGGTCAGAAACCTCCTTCTCAACAGATTTTTCTTTCTTCTGAAAATTTTCAACTGCGGATGGAGGTAGCTCATGATACGGAGATGAACCTCGAGGGCTTGAAAAATCGTAAGGTACATCAAGGACTTGAGAATCCAAACTGGAATCAGACGATGTGGAGCTGACACTAGGGCTCTGATCGTGAAACATTTGCCATAGTTGCTCTCTCCGGATCACAGCTCCCACCAATCTCTCCCAATTGTCATAGATATTCGACATTTCTTTTCCACCCCTCAGCCCTGAAAATCCTTTAGACAACCTTGGTATTAATGAACATGATCAAAGTCAACACAAGAATTATTGAACAATCAACCTGTAATCCCAATATTCAATTAGAAAGAAAATATATTGGTGACATTGACCTTGCTCCCAATTAGCAAGAAAATACATTGTTGACATATCCTGCTAAAAGGCCTAGTTTTTTGTCAGTAAAATATTATATTTGTCTCATTCATATTTGCTGGATTTCATTTTCATATAGCCGATAGAAAAAGAAACGTAAATTCTTCTAGCTCCAAAAGTACAAATTTCAAAAACAACTTCCAAAAACAACTTCCGGGAAATTACAGAAATTTGTAAAATAATCAGAGTAATAGAAAATACGGCCAAAACAGGACAACAAGAAAAACATAAAAACTGGTGTGCAATAGGTTTCTTGACATGATTTTCTCATGTAATTTACCAAGTGTTGACCCCCCAAAAATGAATCAACAGATGCCGGGCCCACCCACGCCAGGTCAAGTACGATTCCAGCGCGTTTCTACCAGAATGATGACGGTAGCGGAGAAGAAGTGGACGCGGGAGGTACTTTATAGCGAGAAACAAAATTGTTTCAAACAAGAATATGTGGAATGATAGATGAAATGTTAATATGTCTCTTTCAAGAGTTCAAGTGAATATATTCAAACATACGATTGCATATTTCCTTTATCAAATGATCCAACCCCCCCCAATTACAAAGAGGACCTATTTATACTGATTTGACCAACGTGGTGACCATTGGATCAGATCTACGTGGCCTTATCTCCCTGACTAAGGCTTCACATCACTGTCTACTCATACAATTAATACATTGATAAGAGGTCAGCCGCCCTATACAATGGCTGACACACTCACAACTTTATTACAAGCGTCACATCAATCACTTCAAAGAGATCCTCAAATCTTTTACAAGGAAACATCATCGATTTTGTGAGCCTCGGATGAACTGAGTGCCTCAGAGAGATCCGAGATGGTTCTCAAGTGGGGGACGTCGCTTCTTTCCCAACTTCTTGTCATGCAGTGTGAGGGCTTCGGAAGTTGTGTAAGGACTTTGGCCTTTTGATTACTTTTGTGTGTTTGATCTACTGGTCTTCTTTTGACTTTCTTGTTGACTACCTGGCCACATGTCGTGCCACGTGGCCTCGTTTCACTGGACCTCGGAATCGAGGGATAACAATAGTCCCCTAAATCTAGGCATAATTATTTATGTAATGCATGGACTTATTCAATCACTCCGAAAATAAGGAAAACGTTTCGTAAGGGGATGGTTTTTTGCTATCTCACAATAGTCCCCTAGGTCTAAGTATGATTATTTATGTGATGGTTAGAATTTGAGGACGTGTCCGACCTTTGGAGATCTGACGTGAGTGATTTTTGGGGTGGTTGACTTGATAATATTCATCTTAGGATCAATTATGAGGAAGTACACCGAAGTAGGAGTATTCGATGGGTCTTATCATAACCAAAGTGCCTGCTCTGAACCAAAGCTCCTCCATATAATAGAGGTTGTAGATGAGTTATCGAGGTACATGGGGCCTCAGATAGATAATTACAATGCATTTTAATGTTTTTTGGGAAATGCGAGGCGTTTGTGATCATGGCGCCTCAATGATTTGATGTCGTGGTGCATTTCCAAGAAAAATGAGGGTGAGGCGGTACAACTTCCAATGCATGCAACCGTCGCCTCATTTAATGCACAATGATGGATGTCTCCCACGTCTAATGGATTCCAGATGTTTTGGGAGTGCGTATGCCAGACGTTCTAATCCGAGCCTTAAAAGATGAGGCGCCAGATGTTCTAAACCATCCGATTAGAATTTGTAATCTAACTGTTGGATGGCTCAGATTGAGATCCAATGGCTGAGGTTGAGTGGGCTTGCCTATAAATGACACGAATTTTTTAAAGAATGTTTTTCTATTTTCGTACGAATCTTCAACTTTCATTTTCAAAGTTTTCGAATCTTGCAAGCCTTTGTTGAGAACCCTTCGAGCATTTCTTCATGAGATTCCTCTATGTGTTTTGTTGACCCCCGAAAATGAATCAACAGATACCAGGCCCACTCACGCCAGGTCAAGTACGATTCCGGCTCATTCCTACCGGAATGATGACTGTAGTAGAGAAGAAGTGGACGCGGGAAGTACTTTGCGGCGAGAGACAAAATTGTTCGAGCTCCGACGGGTGGAACGAAAGCGATCGCACTCACAATGATCGCCCGGTTGAAATCAAATTAATCTATGTAATAACAAACAAGAATATGTGGAAGTATATATGAAATGTTAATATGTCTATTTCAAGAGTTCAAGTGAATATATTTAAACATATGATTGCATATTTCCTTTATCAAATGATCCAACCCCCCTCTAATTACAAAGATGACCTATTTATACTGATTTGACCAATGTAGTGACCGTTGGATCAGAACTACGTGGCCTTATTTCCCTGACTAAAGCTTCACATCACTGTCTACTCATACAATTAATACGTTGATAAGAGGTCAGCCGCCCTATACAATAGGCTGACACACTTACAACTTTATTACAAGCATTACATCAATTACTTCAAAGAGATCCTCAAATCTTTTACAAGGAAACAACATCGATTTTGTGAGCCTCAGATGAACTGAGTGCGTCAGAGAGATCCGAGATGGTTCTCAAGTGGGGAACATCGTTTCTTTCCCAACTTCTTGTCATGTAGTGTGAGGGCTTTGGACGTTGTGTAAGGACCTTGGCCTTTTGATTACTTCTGTGTGTTTGACCTACTGGTCTTCTTTTGACTTTCTTGTTGACTACCTACCAACGTGTCGTGCCACGTGTCCTCGTTTCACTGGACCTCAGAATCGAGGGATAACACACATTAAAACAAATCCAGTAGACCAGAAACAGCAATATGTTGGGGAATCAAATAATCCATAATGCCATAACTATATAGAAAGACCAAGTGCAAAATGAACTGACTGGTATTGTAGCCACATTCCAGAAGCTGAAAATTTAAGCTCTACCCGAAGAACCATTTCTTTTGGGGCTTGGCCTTGCTCTAGCCGTTACACATGTTTTTCTTTCTTTCTTTTTTTTCACCTAGAGTTCGTCTACGTTTGCTTAGAAATGTAAAAACTTAAATTTGGTTGTGTACTTACACAATGTTCCAGTTTATGCTCCTACCCATTATCGGGATATACCAAGAAAGACATACGATATAATGAGGCTATTATGAAATATTTACTCATGGGTAGTGTAAGCTCTTCTATTCTGGTTCATGGTTCAAATCATTCTGCATAAGGCTTGCATCCTCTATCTTACCACGACTGTTGTTACAGAGTTAGTCGATGTTTATTCTCTATACACCGTCATTGCTTCCTAGGTCTGTTTGGGTCTACTTGGAAGTCGGGTACCGATTATGGAGGTTTTTTAAAGTGTCTATTTTGAACATTTACGAATGGTCCCTTTTTAGGTAGTTTTTAGTAGAAATTTTTAAAATAATCCAACCTATGTTTAGAAGTTTATTATCCAGCATTTCTGAAAGCTTTTTAAAAGATTGAAATTACATATATTTCCATATTCTTTTTAAATTTGGAATAATTGTTTTAGAGAAGGTAAAATAGGAAAAAAAAAATTGAAAAATGGCAAACGACGGTGTGTTGAAAAATACAAGTCAACTTACACTATACTGTTAGCCAAGCAAAAATTAAGAGAACGAAATAATTCCTTGTTCTAAATCCAAACATGTCAACCAAACCATATGTGCTCCATATGCCACTGTTCATTCTTCAATTAGTATATAGTGGGAGCCTATCATAAACATTAATATTTACAAGTAAATGAGCCACACTTTTGACTGGAGCATGTTTAGCACACAATAACAAAGAGAATCATACAATTTAAATAAATACAAAATTTAGTTTATTTTGATTAACGTCAAACACTTGGGATTAGTGATAAGCCAGAATTTTCATATAAGGGGATTGAAAAATGTTGAAAAC